CCACAATAGATCCAGGAGGCCTCCCCATAGGTCTAGGGGGCCATAAAAACCCAGAGCTGACTTTGCCACTGCCTGTTAAAAGGCTGGTGATCATCTCTGGACTTATGTTCCAGCGCTGTGCGCAGCTGACTCCCAGCAAGAGGCACAGGAGCTCTAGAGCCGATAATTGCTGTGCTAAGTGCCTTGGGCAGCTGGTGTCAAATTGAATCAATGATTGCTTTAGCAGGAGCAAATAGATATTATAAAAGCATTAGGTGTCTTCAAAGGGTGACGTGTGGTGCATTTGCCAGAGGCACCCTAGCCTAGACTATCAGTTCAGCAGGCAGGCATGGGCCATTGAGAAAGAAGAATGAGTAGCCAATCACCCCTTTCCCACTCTTTTCTCCATCTTCTCTGTGGGTCAGAACTACAGCTCTGACAAACTTTTTGTACCGTTTTCCCCGGGCATGGCATTGTACGGTGCAAATGAACAGAAGCGAGCCCCAAAGATTGCGACGGGTAGGTAAAATTCTCAAAAGATCAATTCCTTATTTAAAGAGAGGAGAGGAGCATCCTGTCATTTTGTGCTTGTAACTTAGAAAACAAAGTCTAGCCACGGATGTTTCCCTTGGTGAGTCCCAGACACGTTTCTTAGCCTAAAATGCTACTGAGAATAGTGCCATACAGACTGTTTACCAAGGTGCGACCCAATTACAAGATCCCTGCTTCAGACTGGATCAGCCAGATGATATGATCCATTTGCTGGGGCTGACAAAGATTTGTAATGATGACAGTGCATGGAAGTCTCTGCGTCTGCATATCCTCTGCCCTCCCATAAGCTACACTGGTTTGCACAAGCATCTGCATTGCCAGCTTTCTCTTGCCTTGACTGTCAGACACTTAGTGGCTTGCAGATGAGTATGTGAAGGAGCTTACTATAAGCAGTTGCACTAGAGATGGCATAAGATGCTGTTTGATCTGTACTGGCCCATTCACACGTACATTTCATTCCTGGATGGTGCAGTCATCAAATGGGTGAACTGCATGGGTGAACGGGCTTGCTCGTCTGTCTTCCTTGTAAACCTCCCTAAGCTACCCGTATACTGGAACTTGCCTCCATGCCTTTGGGAGGTGTTTCCCACAATGTATTTTCTCAGTATTGAAAGGTCTAGATGTGGAGGTGTGGCTGCCCCTCACCTGCATATCTACTCAGTAATCCTTAATGGAAAAAAAAATACATGATGGGGCAATGACATCAGAACCTTCAGTTTTTCTCCTCCCTTTCAAAAACCAAGTTTCTCTGGGAATGTAAAACTTGGTTGGCATCTCATTACATGGTTCTTCTGTGGGAAATCTATTCAGACAAGTCACAAAGCTCAGTGCCTTAACCAGGAGGTAGCAGAGCCATGCCATGCAACCCTACTCCCACATTTACACCCACACTGTAGCAGAACCCCAGATGCCTATATGTAAAGCAAGGAAGCCCCAGTAGAAGCCTACTCTGTCCATCTACCTGGCTGTGCATTGGTTTGCACATGGTTGTATATTGCTGATAGAGCTCACAGAGTGGAATCACTGAGTCTTTTTGATTTTGAGGGGTTATTGTGTTCTCTCTCTCTCTCTCTCTCTCTCTCTCTCTCTCTCTCTCTCTCTGTGGGTGTGTGTGTGTGTGTGTGTTATACACACAGAGAGAGGGGGGGCTGGGAGGGATGGATGGAGACCGAGTGAGAGAGCTTTTACATTTTCTTTGACAATGCCATGACCCTGAGATCTACCCCATTGTTTGTGTTGGAGTTTAAATCCTATCTATTTTCCACCGACTACATGGCATACGGCTAATTGTGACTGAGCCCTGTCTTTTTTCCTGGGCATTTGTTGCTTTTTATTCAGCTGGCAGGGGCTAGTGTTGGGGAGGAGGGTTGTAGCAATTTGCATCATCTCACCCCCTCCCTCATTTTTAGTGGATATGACTACCGTTAGTGGTTGAAAGGGACACTGGAGAGTGTGTCCGATACTTGTCTTGGTGTTGGGGCATTTTTTGAAATGTTTTTTTCCCCAAGTGACATAGAACTAAATTGATATAGCCTAAAATGCCATTGAGAACTGTACCCCAAAAGCCACACTTTTCACATCCTAGTGATAGATCAATATGGGGCACAGGGTAGCTTCATGGGGATGGATAAATTTCCCCTACAGTCTTTTGAGGCTCTTTCGTGTGCCACAGTGAAAATCATCTGCCCTCCAACACAAACACTAACATACAAATCTTGAGTCATTGGAATCAAGGTGGCACTGGAAGGAAGGGTGAACAATACCTTCCTTCAGACACATGAGGCTGATATACTAGTATAATCAGAACAAAATGTAGGAATTTCTGAATGTGGCTCTCCTATGCCAACATGCCTAATGTGATCCTCAGTTCCCTAAACTGACATGACATTGATCTGCACACTGGTTATGTATATATTTCATTGGAGGCATGCAGAAGGTATCATATCTGAAGATGCTTGAGGGTTGCATTTCCAACCAAGCTACTGTAAATAGGATGGGAGAGGACTGTCTACTCTTTCCCTGAGTACATTTGGAGAACCAGGTTGCAGTTTCTTGTCAAAGTTTATGTTTAAACATTACTACAATTGAGGTTGATCCTCGATTTCCTAACCACACTTTTGCTCATCTTTGCCCATGGCGATAGGCATTGCCAAGAGGAATCTGTCTTGTACGATTTGTCTGTATGGTTTTCTCCTGCTTCAGCAAAATTTTTTTTAAATTAACCACATTGGTATTTTATGCACTTATTTATTTCTGGACTATATGCACTAGAGGGACAATGTGGCACAAGGTTTTGTTTTATTTTAACCCTAGCATTTCCAGATTCTCCCAACAAAATGATTCAATGCATTAAACCACTCCATCTCTGGCCCCTACATCACAAGGCCTTTTGTCTTGTGGCTTACATTTTCCATTATACTAAATAATGTTTGCTTCCATTTGGTGATGAATAGGTTATGCATCTTTATCCGTGTCTTTAGGGACATCTTTGTTAATGCTTAATCTCAGTTTTGCAATGAGCTGTTTCCCATAAGTATGCAAAGCTATTAAAAAATGGATCCCAAATCTTTGGATATTCTACTTGACTATTAGTGATTCCTCAAGATGCAAGAACTTGCATCAAATACTGATTTGCAAAAAAAACCCAAAACCAACTTTTTTTAACCAATAAATATTGGGCAGAGCTTTAGGCACCCTGAGATGTAGCCCCTCTGTTGTTGTTTCCTAGCAGAACTTTTGGGGTCCTTTTCTTTCCACTAGATCTGTAGCTTCATCTGGGCAGGACAGTGGGGTAGATGTCCAGGATGCCATTCGGAAGCAAGGCCAATATTAAGAGTAGTCATGGTTGGGCACCTGCCAATACCCTGGCATGCTGCTGTTGCTCCTTTTTCCTGTCAACACGCGATCACTTGCCTTCTCTGAGCATCTAAGCAGAGAGTCAAAAGAGAAGACAGGACAGCTTTCTTCTTTCCCCTAGTTTTCTTTCTCTGTATTCCCTGTATAGGCTGGATCCAGAGCAAATGAGTAAATGAAAGGGCAGCAGGGTGAAGAGAAGGGAGAAGCATTCCTTGGGTATCACGTCAAGGCCCCCACCTAAAATGTGGAGGCAAAGATGGGTGATACCCTTATCAGAGTATTTTTAAAAAATCACACAGATAAGCTAGCTTTTGACTTGACACATCTTCCTCAGTCTGGGGACCACAGAATTGGGGGTGGTGCAGGAGAAACAATTCATGTGCAGGTCAGGCTTCTCTATTTAAAACAAGCTTCAGATCAGAAGTATAAGTTCCAGATTTCACCTTTAATGCTGTGGACTGGAATATCTCTCCCAATCTTGTTAGATAATTGGAATCTCTCTCCCAATCTTGTTACCTTTGCCAATCATTCATCATATTTTTTCCCATCCAAACACAACATGGTTTCTTTTCAGCTGGTGACCACCTTGCAGCTCTGTGGTGCCCAGCCTGGTGAAGACCTGCACAGGGTTGAAAGCTAGCTTTATGTTTGTGATTTTTAGTGGTCTGATAAGGGCATCACTCACCCTTGACTTCCTAGTGTATACAAGAATGCCATGGCTTTCTGTCAGGCTAAAAGGTGGAGTTACTTCTACACAGCAGAACAAAGCCCCACAAAGTAGTGGGACACATCTGGAAGTAAGTGAAGTAATAGACATTGCCACCCAAAGTGAATCTCAGGGTGTACAGAGGGCAAAAGTATACTGGACTGAATTCCTGGTATAAGCTCAGTAGAAGCAGAGCTCTAACATACAGGTTATCCCCCTGCATGATTTCCAGGTCTTTCTTTCCAAATCTTCCATTGTCTAGCATAAATCCTGAGATGGTCTCACACAGAGATGGGTATTTTAGACTCTCCAGATAGGACAGGACTGCAGTTCCCATCGTCCCTAGTCAGCATAGCCATAGGAAAGGGGTGAAAGAGGGTTCAACATCTGGAGGGACACAATTTGGCTTATCTTGGTCTACAGCAGTGGTTCCCAACCTTGGGTAGCCCAAGTGTTCTTGGACTACAAATCCTAGAAGCCTTCGCCACCAGCTGTGTTAGCCAGACTTTCTGGGAGTTGCAGTCCAAGAACATCTGGGGACCCAAGGTTGAGAACCACTGGTCTGTAGCATAGACTTTTTGTGGACTAGAGGCTGACCCCACACCTAAACATTTGGGTGGGAGATGTTGCCTCCCCAGTTCCCGTCACCAGCTGTCTTATGGGGCTTCAGCCAGCCTTTCACAGCCATCCTGCTGCCTTGGGGATGTTTTGGATTACAATCAAAACACCACCCGAGGTGTCAGCAGTTGTAAGCCAAAAAACACCTGAAGGGGACGAGGTTAGGAATGGCTGGTCGTTGCTGTGACAGAGCCCTGGAGCTCCCATCAAAAGATGTCAGATTTTCCAAACTTCACAGAAGCTGTTCTTCCACTGTGAAATTAACCATCTTCTGGAAACAGAAACATACCTTATTTCGGGGTTGAACATGGCATACTTCAAGCAGCAGAGGAGTCCGCTACCTATTCCAACTCCCATGATGCCAATGATAAAGATGATCTACACAATGAGATAAAAAGGGAGAAAGAGAGTGAAAAAGAAATGGGGGAGAGAAAAAACACACACCTTAAATAGGATGAATACCTAGCAGGAGACAAAAAGAGTGAAAGGGAGCCCTAACACATTGAGAAAGTTACAGGGAAAATACAGCCCAGCTTGAATACACTGTGCAGCAGTCACTCTGGGTTAAAAGCGGATGAGAAAAACAGCTCTGTCTTGGAGAGCAACTGGACCGAGGGAAAGAACTCAGTCCCCTACTACCACTACCACTCAACACCAGCAATACCTTGCAGGATGAGAGAAGAGCAGGGGCTTACAGTGTTTCCTATTGGAGAGGTAACAAGGGGAGTGAATGGGAAAGTCCCCCTTCCTTTTGTGCACTGAGCCTTTAGAGAATCGGGACATGGATGGAGGGGAATACCAGCAATGGAAGTGAGAAGAGTGGCAGTTCTTGTTCATGGCAGACATGGGAGATGAGGTTATGAACACCAATGTTTACTAGACTGAAGTCTTTATTTATCACAATGCACTTCACTACCTTTCATGAGAACCCCGTCTAGGCCCAAATGAGATGCATCTCCTTCCATCCACTTACCTATTATAAACCTTTCTTTGTTTCTCTGATTTCTCCTCCACCATTTTGTCTCTTTCTTTCCTTCTTGGCCGTCTTCTGACTATCACTTACTCTTTAAGTCATCTTCTAGATGATTTAGCTGAAGCACTATCAATAAGTGAATGCTTATTGCTGGAGCATCATTTCCTACAAGAATGTCACATCCTGTCACAACTCAGCAGAGCCTGGACAGTTCCCCATCCCCCCATTTTCAGGGTAGACTACAACTCCCAGAATCCCCCAGTATTCCTGTGCTAGTTGAAGGATTGTGAACACTGCAGCCAAAAGTGAGGTCTTCCAAGCTCTGCTCAGAATTTTGAGAATTTCAGCTTTTAAAAAAGATCCTAGTTCCTACCATGAGTTACTGGTATAAAGAACATAGGGAAACACTTGAATGAAATCTTTAGATGCTGGTACAGAAGACCTGGTCCTGTGTCTTGGGTGCATAAAAAGGTAAAGGTTCCCCTTGTCAATTTTTGTCCAGTCATGTCCGACTCTAGGCGGCGGTGCTTATCTCCATTTCCAACCCATAGAGCTAGTGTTTGTCCGCAGACAATCTTCCGTGGTCACGTGGCCAGCAAGACTAGACACGGAACGCCGTTTACCTTCCCACCGTAGTGGTCCCTATTTATCTACTCACATTTACGTACATGCTTTTGAACTGCTAGGTTGGCGGGAGCTGGAACAAGCGATGGGGGCTCACTCCATTGTGTGGATTCGATCTTACAACTGCAGGTCTTCTGACCTTGCAGCACAGAGGCTTCTGCAGTTTAACCCACAGCGCCACCACACCCCCTCGTCTTGTCTGCATAGTTCCTGGCATTTTTCAAGGTGAAGAAGTGCTTTTGTTTTGTTTTTCCTGAGTCGACTGACAGTATCACCAGGTGATCCCACGTTCTAGTACAGTACAATGAGAGGAGAGCAAAGCACTTGTATTTCTTTCCATGGTTCCACATTCTGTAGTATCTGTTGCTACAACACATCTGTTTTTCTCCTCAGTCAGTTCATTTATGAGTATACGTTTTTTCAAGGTGAAGAAGTGCTTTTGTTTTGTTTTTCCTGAGTCGACTGACAGTATCACCAGGTGATCCCACGTTCTAGTACAGTACAATGAGAGGAGAGCAAAGCACTTGTATTTCTTTCCATGGTTCCACATTCTGTAGTATCTGTTGCTACAACACATCTGTTTTTCTCCTCAGTCAGTTCATTTATGAGTATACGTCATTGTTATCTTGGCCTCCATAGTTACTGTGCCCCACAGGAACTTTTAGAATTGCTGCTGTTAAGGCCTCCTTATAGAATCATATAATCATAGAATAATGAAGTTGGAAGGACCTATGAGGCCATCAAGTCCAACCCTGTGCTCAATGCAGGAATACAAATCAAAGGATATCTGCCACGTGGTTGTCTAAATTTTTCTTGAACGTCTTCAGTGTTGGATCACTCGCCACCTCTCAAGGTCATTGATTCCATTGGCATACTGCTCTAACAGTTAGGAAGTTTTTCCTGATATTCAACTGAAATCTGGCTTCCTGTAACTTGAGCCCATTGTTGCATGTCCTGCACTCAGGGATGATTGAGAACAGATCCTACCCCTCCTTTTTATGACCACCTTTCAAGTATTTGAAAATTGCTATCATGCCTCCCCCAGTCTTCTTTTCTCAAGACTATACATGGCCATTTCCTTCAGCCTTTCCTCATATGACTTGGTTTCCAGCCCCTGATCATCCTTGTTGCCCTCCTCTGGATTTGTTCCAATTTGTGGCCATAAGATGAGGACTAGGGTGGCCATAAAATGAGGTACGAGGGTAACTAGTACCTCACAGGATTTGGAGACTATACTTCTGTTAATGCAATCGAAAATAGCATTTGCCTATTTTGTAGCCACATTACACTGTTGGCTCATATTCAGCTTGTGATCTACAACTCCAAGATCCCCTTTTCTTGTAGTATTGCTGAGCCAGGTATCCCCCACCCTTGCAAATATATTTGTTTTCTTTTTCTTAGGTGTAATACTTTGCATTTATCTCTGTTGAATTTCACTCTGTTGTTTTCAGCCCAGTGCTTAAGCCTATCAACATCTTTTTGAATGTTGTTTCTGTCTTCCAGGGTATTAGCCAATCCACCCACTTTTGTATCATCTGTAAATTTGATAAGCATTCTCTGAATCACCTGATCCAGGTCATTAATAAAAACAAAGAGCACAGGGCCCAGGACTGGGGTTCCCCACTCGTTACCTCCTCCCAGTTGGAGAAGGAGCCATTCACCATCATCCTCTAATTCTGTAGCTGACTGTGTATCTCCACCCAACAGTTGTTCTATGCAGCCCATTTATAGTTACTGTAGCTTGCTAATCAGAATATCGTAGGGCACTTTGTCAAAAGCTTTGCTAAAGTCCAGATATACTATGTCAACATATCAGGGAGGTTACCAGACCAAAAAAGGAGATCAGGTTAGTCTGGCAGGATTTGTTCTTGACAAATCCATGTTGACTCCGAGTTATAACTGCATTGTTTTCTAGACGCTTGCATAGCGACCACTTGATAATCGGTTCCAGAATTTTCCCTGGGATGGCTGTCAGGCTGACTGGTCTGTAGTCCCAGGTTCCTCCTTTTTGGTAGGGACAACATAGCCCTCCTCCAATCCTCTGGCACCTCACCCAATTCTCATGATTTCAAGAAAATAAAGGACAGTGGCTCTGAGCATTTTTCAGCCAGTTCCTTCAATACTCTTGGATGCAGTTCATCCAACCCTAGAGATTTGAACTTGCTTCAAGGTAATTAGGTCTTCCTTGACTATTTGTTTATCTATCTCCAGCTGCAATCCTGTCCCCTCCGCCTGTCCTTTACATTTCTCTGGAGGGCCATCTGGCATCTCACTCATTTCCCATGATTTCAATGGACAGTGGCTCTGAGAGCTCTTCAACCAGCTCCATCAAAACTATTGGCTGCAGTTCATCCGGTCCTGGAGATATTACAATTGGCATCTCACCCATTTCCCATGATTTTAATGGAGAGTGGCTCTGAGAGCTCTTCAACCAGCTCGATCAAAACTATTGGCTGCAGTTCATCCGGCCCTGGAGATATTACAAAAGTGTATTATTTATTTGCTTGTTTATTTATTGATTGCATTTCTAACCCAACTTGTCCTTAGGTGAGATCCTGCTTGTGCAAATGGCTCCCCTCCGCCCTCCTTTAATGTCACAAGTACCACCACCCCCAGTTAGCTTCATGGCTGGCTCGCCCAAATCCTGCTCCAACTTTCTAACCTCTGCACTACATGAAGGTCTGCACTTTGTAGAGATGATGTTTCAGACAGGCATATCTCCAGACACTACCATGGGCTATCTCTGCTGGCCATCTGGCATCTCACTCATTTCCCATGATTTCAATGGACAGTGGCTCTGAGAGCTCTTCAACCAGCTCCATCAAAACTATTGGCTGCAGTTCATCCGGTCCTGGAGATATTACAATAAGTGTATTATTTATTTGCTTGTTTATTTATTGATTGCATTTCTAACCCAACTTGTCCTTAGGTGAGATCCTGCTTGTGCAAATGGCTCCCCTCCGCCCTCCTTTAATGTCACAAGTACCACCACCCCCAGTCAGCTTCATGGCTGGCTCACCCAAATCCGCTCCAACTTTCTAACCTCTGCACTACATGAGGGTCTGCACTTTGTAGAGATGATGTTTCAGACAAGCATGTCTCCAGACACTACCATGGGCTATCTCTGCTGGTGCAAGAGACTTATGAACACCGATTGTATGTTTTCCCATTCCCACTGACTAAACAATGGGGGCATGGTTTATTGCTCTGTTAGCCTTGAATGGGAAATTAAACTAGAAACAAATTACAAGTACACATGGACACACACACACCCCAGTTCACCAAGTACTGAAAATGGTGTGAAAGAGAATGGACCACTGTTAGTATGGTGCACTTTATTTATCTCATCATGACCTTTCCAATCAACAGGTTTCACAGATTTGGGTGGTGTTTTCAAAACTTTGCAGATATGATCTCATTGGTGATGATGGTGAAATCTTCTCCATGTGCGAGATGGAGAGAGAAAGAGAGAGAGAGAGAGAGAGAGAGAGCAACCCCCTCCCTCTAATGTTTCTGTTTACTTGATTCTTCAGTTCCAGCTACCATCCTTCTTTAACGAAGCCACCCTGAGCACCAACAGCTTTTGTATCCAATTCCAAGGCAATTTCCTTCCCAGCCTGTTCTACGAATCCCCAGGAGGCTGAAGGTGCAAAGCCTCAATCTGAACAGATACAGCAGCTGCTTGACCTTCCCCAAATTGCACTGGCCCTTCATGCCTGGCCAGGTATTTGGAGTATAATGAAGTTTCCTGTCTGCAACCCCTCACCCCCTGTTGTTAGGA